TGGAAATAAATCATTTGGCCTGTTGTATAACATTCAACAAAATATAAGAATTAAGAAGCAAATTGTTTAATTTAAATGTGGGGTCTATTTTTAAATTGCATCAATGGAACAACATCTAAACATGTTAAAGCGTTACCTAAAGCACTTTTAAATGGGAGTTCAACGCACGCTGTAGACGACATAGATGTGTTTGTGTATATGGTACACATTATATGTATGTATTTTATATAGGCCTAAACATAATGCATATCACTATTAGAAAGCAATTATTTTTTTTAAATTGTATATTAAATTTGAAATTTTGAAAACAGTGAATAATATAGTAAATACATGTTCTCTCTCGAGATTCTAATTGGTTAATAGATATATTTCTTTCTCGGTTAAGTCTTAATAATGTCGAATTCCTGAACTTCCAGTAGAGTCCGTACTATTGCAGAAAAAAAATCAGTTCAAAAGCAGGAGGTTAATTTTCATATAAAACAACCGGTCCAAGTGGTAATCAGATCTATTTAAAGAACCTGTTTAAATTAAATTATGATGATAAAGAAATGCAATAAAACACGCTTTCGTCTTAATTCTTTGCTATTTACAGCTTCTTGCGCAGCTATTTCTCAAAGCTTTGAATTTTTCAAACTTAATTACGAAACAAAGCTTCTCGCTGGACAGAAGACTGAGGATTTGTGACTCCCTCCTATCAGAAGGGTGTGTTTAACTTCAGCGCATTAAGGACACAGGTAAGTCCACGGCTTTCAAAACAGGACAAATCGTGCGTGGGTGTTTCATAAGCCTTTTTCTTCACTAAAGGCAGTTGCTTTGGCAGCGAGATGGAAGTTTAAGATTCAAGACTGAGGAAAATGCCACTTCAGCGGTTTTCGAACTAGAGATACGCCTGACAAAAACTGTAAATGAAGGAGGGTTACTTTCGTTTCTATAAATTAGCCCAAACGATCTATTTAATCGTTTACATTTTTTACAATTTGCAATCTTGGAAAATAAAATAACTCTTAAGCCTAGTTAATAAACAGATGAACACGACACATGAAGAGTATCTAAAAAGTAGAACATTTTCATATTATTCTCAAACAGCCAGAAAGTAAAAGTTTAGGCCATTGATATTTTTGGGCATAAAATGATTTCGCCAAGTGCCCGCTGGTCGACATCTCAAGTGATGATAAAGCTAAAGAAGACCAAACATATTCAACCATTTTTTTTTTGTTAATGCAGAGTATGCCAGACACATTAAACTCGGTGCACTGAAATCCTTGTGCAGTTATCTCTTTTGCAGTCAGACAAACGTTCTGTGGCGATCCCGCTATCTCGAACCTATCCACAGCCTGTCGGAAGAAGAAAAGTATATAAAGAAGAGCTAAACAGCAGCAGCGGTTAGTGAGTGTGTGTGTGACCCAGAGAGAGGGAGAGGGAGACAGAGAGAAGGTCTTTTAAAACGGAAAGGAAACTGATACCAACAGATTGTATTTGCTAAAAACGTCAATCAGTTTTCTGCAAGGAATTTTAATTGCTATTGGGGCCCTGCTATCGGCTGATAAGGTTTATTAATAAACTTTTGATAACAGCAGTTTAAAGACGGTGACTGCCTGCAGCGCGACAACAGGCCTTCTGTGGCGTCAGTCCTGTGTTGGAAGAGTTTTGAAAATAACTCAAGACTTAACGTAATTATTTAAGAAGAAAACCGCTCCAGTAATGTCAACAAAACTTTGGAAAATGTGCAATGCAATAACCCATATATAAATTGTCAACTGTAACGTCTCTTTCAAATGATTGGATTTTTAAACTAGACCATATCTGATCTTGACCCCAAAAGACAGCAGAGACTCCTCAACATCGATATTTCCAAATCATATTTGGACCCTTTATTTCCGCTGAAGCTGTATCAATGTGGTGTCCATAATGAAATCGCAAGCCTTTAAATTTTATGGAAATTTTGAACATTTTGAAATATTGAAAAACAGATCACAGGTTCTACAAATGTATATAGTTATCTTTTTAATGCGGTCACGGTTTAAAATGCACCGCGAGGTTCACTTTGATGTGTAAAACCGTCTCGTTCAGGTTCTTCACTGCCATACGTACATATTCGATGAAAACTCAAACCTTGAATCTTGCTGTACTCACCCTTCTCCTGCATTGTATTACACCAGATTTAACACCACCCTGTCACGGACTGCACTGTTCACCCAGGCGTTGGATCTCAAGGCTCGCTTCTATCGCTCGCTACGTAACCCTAATAATAGCGCCCGCGGTCCCTCTCCGGTCTACCGGTCTACTCCGGTCTTCAAACTGTAATACTTTAAATAATCGAACCGCACATCTTTGAAAGGACACAAATGTAGCTGTGTGAGGAACGAATGTGTGCTTGTATTCTGTAATGATCACTCCCTCAACTTGAGTCCCGATTTCCTCTGCCCGCCACTCCGCAAGCCCAACAGACTCCGTGATCTGTCCCAGTCCTATTTCACCGGCTTCCACTGACAGCGAGTCCCAGTTGTGTTTGATTTAAAGACTTTTCTTCGGTCACATTCACATCCTTCTATTAAGAATTGTATTCAATAAACCCAGAGCTTTAGTCCGCTGTAAAACACTCCCCCGCAGACGATGTCCAGCAAAATTTATTGAACCTCCAGCTCTTACCAACTTCCACGTATTATATATTGGCCTAATGAATTCCCACAATTTGTCCTGGTAACCGGATTTCTTATGGTCTGACCAGATTATCGTGTAGTTAAAGATTTAACAACTAATCAACGTAAAACTTTTTGCTATGGCAAAAGCTAAGCAGATCTTCACATACTCATATGCTTACTTCGTTTAATCACACAGTCTCAACAACGTTGTTATAAACTTAATTAAGAATACACCATTCCCAATGTTCTGATTAAATGGGGGCGTTTGAAAGAAAAACAGGCAATGTAATAATACGAAAAGTATCGAACCACTTCATAATGTCCGGCCTGCTCGAAAAAGGAAACAGTCTTGGTTATGAATACATAAAGTAGTACAGTATCAGATTAAGGAAGGAGATCTGAAGTAACGTGTATCAGGTAGCTGCGGTTTACGCATTTAGTGCACTTTCACGGTCAGCTGTTAGTCTTCTTGAGCAAGATTGCTGAAGACGCTCGGATATCGTCTCCAAAAGGTGAGAATGTATATGTTTAATTGCACTGTTCCTGCGAGAAAAAGCCTCATGTGCATATGTTACAAAATTAGCCTATACTCCGTTGAAGTGAAATTTCATTTAAAAAATAATAGCAGTTAATAAAATGAGGCTAATGATTTCAACAACTGTTAAAATTGTGCCTTTAGAGTTGGGCTACCAAAACTGAAAACCGAATGCATCACTGCTCTTAGATTGTATCATCTTGTCTTATCTTCACTATGTTATATCTTTCTTAGGATGGTCTACTAAATCTTGAAATTATTTCTCAAAATATGTTTTTGAACGAGGCCTTTGAAAATTGTTTTCTGTAAAGAAGTATTTTCTGTATTGTATGCGATAAAACCACTTACTAGTATTGTGCAGCCGATGCAATGATAGTTCAGTTATTATTGTTAAATATTTGTTGTTCCGAGCAGTGCACACAGATTTCATGTTATCGGTATGCAGTAAGTTTCGTGAAGTCGCATTTGTGTTTATTTATTGTTGTTGTTTCTGATTATGGTAGTAGCAGCAAGGGTCTAGTATATAAAAATTTAAGAAAATGTCCAGACCTATTAGACGTCAAATGTAAAAGCGATTACTGGTCAGCCATACAGTAAGTACGCTTACCATTAAGATCTCAGATGTTAAGTAGCGAACACATCTTATTTATCATAAAAAGCCATTCATTAAGCCACTGTTCAGTGCGGTAATATGTCAGCTATATTCATTTAACAATGAACCGGGAAATACACTCCTTAAACACTATTTAGAATTGACCTGTAGCTTTTAGCAGACTAAGTATTTGGGAAACTATTTTTGTGTGGTAAATAATTTATTTATTGATGCAGTACGTTTCCCACGTGTCTATTAATAGGCATGATTCATAGTTCAGCCTACACGGCTCTCTCATTGAAAAGAAATTAAATCAGTGTGCAAAATTACTTTAAGCATAAAGTGTTAAAAGTATTTTAAATGGTATAACCAGTCTTATGTTCTAGGTATTTCCTATTACACAAAGTGTCACAAGTGTGAATCGGTTTTCCAGACAGGAACATTCAGTGTATACTCGTGCATTGTTTTTATTTTCTCAAATAACTAGAGCACTCACACACCTATGTAACAGAAACATCATTGAACAAATCTATTGAACATCTTATATTTCAACACCAGCTTGGTGTTGAGGCTACATCTCTCCCGTAGTCTGATGAAACAACACTAGGCCGAAGATCATTTTAACACGGGATTTCTGTTGAAAATGAAGAATATTCTCGCTGACAACTAATACTGTAGTCTGCAAAATGAGTCGTATGAACATTAAATCACTTAGTCATATTAATTTTAGATTAATCGTATTCCGTCGATTGAACTCGCAAATGTATGATGCTCATGATCAGACGCTTCGTGAAAGATAAAGGAATAAAATGAGGGTTCAAGAAAGATGCTAAATCAGGCTATAATGTTAAAGATGCCCCACTGACAATCTGATTTAAAATAACACAATTCATGTCTTAATACTCGGAATGCTTCTACGCTTTTTCCGCTCTTCTGCTTTTTTTTCCTGGTCAGTGCTTGATATCAAACATAGCAATGTAGTAGAGGTAATGGTATTGTCATAAATAATAATAATAATAATAATAATAATAATAATAATAATAATAATAATAATAATAATAATAATAATAATAATCCTCCCTGCGGTTGCTCTGCTTTTATATCACCATTCTGTGATAAAACATTGATTTTACTCGTGGGGGAGACTGAGAGGAGACTTCTGCCCACCCCACTCGCCCCCCCAATATCGGAGCTGCCTTCTCGGACGTCACTCACCCAGCTCGCCCCGCCCGCGCAGTGACATCACCGCTCACGCGGAGAGCTTTGCCTCTCTGTGCCCCCAGTCTCAAAAACAGACTCCAGCTGCAGGCATTGGCTGTCACAAGAAGCACGCCAGTCCTCCTCTGAATGCATGGAAGCGAGCTAAGCAGTCGACAAGAGCAGTCGAAGAGTATCTTTTCTCTAAAAAGAAGAATGGATACATTGGCAGCCCTCGTATGAAATTTCCTAAAGGGGTTCTTCTTCGTAACTCCTCACCAGCGGGGTTAATTTCCTTGATGTGATTGCGCAGGATTTTGAGAATGCTTCCAAGCCCAGTCACTTCTACACCTTTCTCTGTCAAAGACATACTAAACCTGGAGCAACAGTCTCAGCAGCACCAAGCCCTGCACCTAGAACACCCCCATGCGCACTTGCACCAGGAGGTTCAGCCGCCGCCGCACTTCCAGTCGCCGTCCTGCATGCTGGCTGCCGGGGAGAGCCCCAGCTTCTCGGACGGCGAGGAGAAAATGTCCTTCCTGAACTCGCTGTCGGTACGGGACAGCCACGGGGAGGCCAGCATCTCTCCGGAGCTGTACGTTCAGGCGGCGCTAGGACACTCGGCGGACACCAAACTGGAGGGCGACCTGGAGGAGCAGGAGACCAGTGAGTTCATTCTCCTCACCTTTCACTCCCCTTTCACCGGGCTTCTTTCATGCCATTTTCTGTCTTTTTTTTCCGAATCGCATTGTTGTTCACATCTTATAATTTGTAAAATTGCCAGAAATACCCTGGTAGTAATTCTTAGCGTTTTGGCGTATTTTATATAGGCTGTCTAAATTGCTGTGGGCTCACCCTTCCGCGTATATAAGTATGCATGTTATAGCACAAAAGAACTGAAGACAAACCACAGGGTAAGTGATGTTTTGCCCTGCGACTATTTAATCCATTAAAATGTTCAAAAAGACTAAGCTATAGATCCAAATAAAAGTATAAATTGAAAGGATTTAAATAAATCACTTACTTGCCTCCTATTTGAATACGTAAAAAACGTAATCTATTGCGATGTAAGAATTTTGGGGTTATTTTCCACCTTGATTTTAAATAAATTCCAGGACTAGTTTAAAACGTTATTGCAATAACTAATTGCGTGCAGACCTATATGAGCGACGATTTAAATTGCATTTTTAAAATATTACCTAATGCAGACTAAATATAATTAAAGCTAACCACCGCATAAAGGTGGAAATTCTTTCCTTAAAAGGACTTCAAATTCAAGACAAATGACATGGGATTCACAGAGCGTCCATAAATATAATATGTGCTGATAGGTCTCAAGAAACCGATTTTTACTGTTTGAGCTACTAACAGTTCTTATAACAATTAACACGCAACAGCAATAAAAATAATCAGTGAAATGTTTCGAAAAATAGAATACACACTATACCCAGAATGAACACGTTTTGCGCTTTTCATCTCTTCAAATCTTCTGATTTGAACTCCAAGAATATTTACAGTAGAGCCTTATAACGTAATTAACAGCTCGAATGTTTTGTTGGAGGTTGATATATATATATATTAAAAAACATCTTAAATTAACGACAGGTACTTTAATAGGGACTATTTAGCACTGAGTTATCCGAGTTTTACATCATACTCACTTTACCCTTTACATTCATTAATAACAATAGCTTTTTAATTTAATTTTATGAAGAAAAATGTTTTTTTTTGTCAGTAGGCCTATAAAATCTACGTATGTACAGCCAATGGTTTACGTCTTGTGAGTTTTTTAAAATTGCGAAGACAGTTGCTAAACACAGTTCTGTACCAACTGTGTCTAATTTTACAGAAAGCTGCAGTATCACAAAGTCTCAGGAATGCGACGACAGCCGACACTCGGACTCGGAGCGGCCGCAGAAGCAGAGGACGAGGCGGAAACCGCGAGTTCTCTTCTCGCAGGCCCAGGTGTTCGAGCTGGAGAGGCGGTTCAAACAGCAGAGATACCTCTCGGCGCCGGAGAGGGAACACTTAGCCAGCACTCTGAAACTCACCTCCACGCAGGTCAAAATCTGGTTCCAGAACCGGCGGTATAAATGTAAACGGCAGCGCCAGGACAAATCGCTGGAAATGGCAGGTCACCACCACCCGCCGCCGCCCAGACGTGTGGCGGTGCCCGTGCTGGTCCGGGATGGCAAGCCCTGTTTAGGAGGATCGCAGAACTACAACGCGCCGTACACGGTGGGGGCGAACCCTTACACTTATAACGGCTACCCTGCTTATACCTACAGCAATCCTGCGTATAACTCCAGTTACAGCTGTACATATTCCAGCATCCCTGCTCTCCCTCCTACCACGACTGCCAACGCGTTTATGAACATGAACCTCGGTAATATTGCCAGCCTCAGCAGTTCATCCCAGCCTCAGACGCACCAGGGAACCGCGGTCTCGCCGTGCCAAGGAACACTGCAGGGCATCCGAGCTTGGTAGCGAAACCCTGCAGCAGGACGTCAGAGCCATTACGCGTTTTGCTGGTGTCGTTGTTCACTTGTGATGGAAATAACACATTTACCAAGAAAAACAAAACTTCGTTGTCGAAGTGGGGATCTAAATAAAAAAAAAATGACAGTAGTGTTACAGTACTGCAGTTATCTCCGAGACAGCAAGGAATGTTCACGTTTTCCTATATCTTAACACTAGAACGCTGCCCAATGTACAATTCCCATAATGTATTACTTTTTAGCCATTAAAATGAACTATTTTTTTGTTATTCTCGAGTAAAGTTACCACTGGAGCCTAAACGATTCCTGTACGAAAACAGTATTAACTGCACTACTTATATGCTTTGGTAGCCAAGTTGAACTCACGTCGGATTTCTGTAAACTGAACAAGACCCTCGCGACCCCTGCGATGAGAGGTCATTAAAACACGAGAAACCAGTGTGCCGAAAAACGGATTACGTCCCAGGAAATTCAGATACCTCTTCGTTTTCCGGAGAAATCCCAGATGTTTGTTTCCACTGGACGCAAAATTATCCTTTCTGAGGACTTAAGGCCACTTGTCACGAACACTCGTTTTCAAAACTATGTTTTTGATATATTTGGCATGAGAAAATATAACCCTTAAAAGATGTCTGCTCTCACCGATATTTAACAGGTTGTTATTCCTCCCAATAACTATGGTATGGAGTGTACCACTGAACTGTGAGTTTGCTAGTTTGTGGTTCCTTAACGCATAATCTCAACGAAAATTTCTAAATCCAATATGAAGACCAATTGTATTGGATCTGTACATAGCATGTTCGAATGTATTTGCTCATGGTAAGAAGGAACTCCCAAGTTTGTATAAAACGCCCTGCTTTTAAAAGAATGGAATCTAATAAATTTTTGAGGTGCAATGTTTTACTTATGTGAAGCTGCCATATCTTTATTAAAGTATGTTTTTGATGAATATGCGTCTCAGGAAATGTATTTTATGTTTCCTGATCACACCATTTGTTGAAGAAGATAATCCCACTACAATCTGACATAAGCAGGTGCTATACTGTGCCATTTTAATGTCTGTTATGAGGAAGCTCGTCTTTACTATGGATACAAAAACCAGGTTCGCTTTCTCATTTTCGCCTCTCCCCCCAAAAAAACAATAAAGCACGAATATCGGTCACGTGCTGCGGTCCCCGCGATCAGATATTTCTGATACACGATCCCAAATGACGGCAGAACGTTTGTTCGTAGATTCACTCCTCCGTTCACATCAGGAAGTGTTAAATCACAGATAAACCCTCTTCCCCAGCTCTGAATTCTTTATGAAGAGCTATTTGGGCGCTGGTTGCGAGCGATTTTCGCTTTGTTAGCCTCTTGCGATTTACAAAAAATGTCTTGCTGGAGCCAGTTAGAAAGGGCAGCCCAGGCACACTCGAATTAATTGTGCAAGTGCCAAGTGCTCTGAAAGGAGGAAGTTATTCTACATTGAGGAGCTTTGAGGACGCGATTAGGCATCTAAAATACCCTGAAAGAAGCAGTTCGAGTTGGGTTGGAAGGTAGGAATAATAGCCTTTATTGGATTCATGAACAAAAGGTGTGTGGTAGGAAGGCTGAGTCCTCAGTAAAGACAAAAGGGGCCCAAGAGCTGCTAGATTGACGTCCTTAAATATTCCTCATTGATGCGGAGGCGGGGGCATTATTTTAGCTGGCTGGCTAATAGGAGGATGGATAAAATGTGTTCAGTTTTGTTCGCTCCTTTTTGTTAACGGAGAAAGGAGCTCTGATTAGGGGGAGCGCTCTCCTGCGGGGCTCCTCGAGGGCAGGCAGCCTGGAGGTTACAGCGGGAGGTTGGTGTCTGAATGAAGGGTCATTATTGCTACAAGTTTAGCCATTTCTCTATTGCAAAAAAAAATGGAGAACCCTGAAACTGAGGGAAATTCTGAGGGACAGGAGAAAGAAAGGGAATCAAGGTATAGAAACCACAATGAATGAAGACCATACGGGCAAGTTACTCCTCCACCTTTTTAGATTTCTTTTAATAACCTGGAAGAATTACATGAAAAGTGCGTTTTGTGCCGCACTGCACCGACGCAGAATGCACGGAAATCATCTCATGGAAAAAAAAGGCAGGACTGGAAGCTTTTTTATAAAGTGTTTAGGAAAAAGACGACACGATCCGTGATTTCTAAAAATCCATGGTTTTATTGGCTGTTGAGGAAAATATATTTTCTGCCTCCCGATATTAATATAGGTGTCAGTAAAGAAGAAGAAGTAGCAAGCGACACCCTCAAGAGAGATGAATAACAATGGAGATGCAGTCTGGACGGTCTGTGTCCAGTGTCTTCACACATCACACATGGAAACCGTCACATTCCGTTTTCCTGAACGGCATCGAGGCTTCTCAGTCCGGTGGCTTACTGCAGATACTCAGAAACTGTTTTACAAATATCAAAATGAAAGAGGAAAAACAGCTTTTCTAAATACCACACTGAAGGCATAGAAAATCTCATAGGGCACTCCTATTATTTTATAAATCTTCTTGTAAATATATATATATTTTTAATTATTTAAAGGGGTTTATGCACAGAGTGTCGGGTTTACCTCACAACCACCGCATCTACAGTACGCGTGCATGCCCTCTAACACGACTAACAATATCTTGGTAACGAGTATATAAAATAAGGTTCAGAAATACAGTCGCAAGACCATTTTGACATTAGACAAATAGTCTTTTCACGTACTGGGTGGAATTTTTTTACGGAATTACATGTATCCACTTGTTCTCGGGGCCAGGTTTAGACAAACGTCTTGATTCTGGATCACGCGAGCTTGTTTTAACTAGAATAAGCTACAAGGGCACGGATTCGACATATTAAACTCACATATTAAACTTAACTCAGAAACACGAAGGTGAACGTCTTTGCAAAAATAAAAAGGTGCGAAACAGCACTGGCGTACATTACATGGATTCGCGTTTCTTTCTTCATTCACAACATAATTTTGTCAAGAAATGAAACTAGGCGAAGCCGCTGGGTTCCCTTATAGAATGTATTATCAGCGAGACAGCCGTGTACGCGACGGGACAGCACAGACCCTGCATACCAAGAAGGGCCAGGGAGCGCGGCGGAAAGCAGAAAGTGTACAGCCAAAGTTTAAAACGAGTTCGGATAGAGAGGGGACATAAAACAGACAGTCTAGAGCCGTCACTTTAGAAACTCCGCAGGCACAGCAGTCTATTGGGCTAAAATATTTTAAAAAAATAAAAGCAACATAAACTAAAAGAATAATAATAATCGAACGCGGATTTGCTCACCCCAAAACGCCTGCCACGGATTTATGCTAGGGTAAAATAGAGTACACCCTATTGCTTGAAAATGGAATTCATGGAGTTGTTGAAGTCCACATAAAATGTATTCCAGGCTTTGTAAAAGATGTAGTTGATTTGCCGTTTAAGTACACTTCTAAATTGCAACAGAAATTGTTAACACAATTGCTATAGAAATGGCAGAAAACAAGTAAATATACACTACAAGCCTGGGTGATGTTTCATAACTGTCCACTTCTTTTTCAGATCATTTAAATAAAAAAAACAGCATACATGTAAGAATTGTTGACCAATAAATCTGATATTATAAGAACATCTCCCGTGGTAGTTTAAGTAAAACAATTGAACATCTAGGTATTCATTATTAATACATTTCAACACGTTATACTTGGGGATGAAAGTTTTCCATTTCCCGTCTCTGAGTGCGCCTTTGGATTAAGAAATCTATATGGTCGAAACAGGCTTTTTAAAAGAGAGGCATTATTTTAAAAGTCTAGTAAATAAGTGATGAAATACATATTCCAAGAGAAAAAAACAGTGTTTGAAAACCGATAGGAATGACCTATCTGAAAGTTCCACCAGGAGTTAAGCGTTTCCCATTTCTTTTGAACTAATTTTTAAATTCTTATTAATAGCATTAATTTGACATGGTGGCCACGGTACATGTCGATCCAAAGAAGTCAATCAAATGATTTGTAAGTTTTAATTTTGCAACTCCAAAATTATATTCTCTTTAGGAAAGTTTTTTTCAGGCTTATTTTTTTTTTTATCGTAACCGTAAAGCGCTGCTTGAGTAATTACTATGCTCAATAACTATGCTAGTATTTCTTTCGAAATGACATTCCCGATAAACGTCATTCTAACGTAATGCGAAATAGGACAGATGCACAGATAAATGTGAAAAAAATATATTTATGGGGGTTCGGCCATCCTGAGGGGTTTTTAACTAACATTAAACGTTCGTCAGGGAAAAAAAATATGTTTTTGAATGTGAGTCGGGGACAATGTAAAAGATCTTTATTGGTGGAGTCGAGAAGAACGGTTTACTGATGAACTACAACATTTGTTCAGGGTAATTCGCAATGCGTGTTTCTTCACAATTTCCAACACTGAATCCTACACAAATTGAGCGGTTAGCAAAGCGTCTTGCGCTGTCACTCGCGACGGTTTTACCCCTCCTCAGACCAGCAGAGACGCCTCTAAATCAGATTGTTGGCTAATCTTCGATCACCAAAGTAATCTGGATTTATTTTAACAACTTTCAACTACTGCTCGGTTCTCAGGGGATATAGTACAAACCGTTTTACTAATCCCCTGTTAGGGTAAAACAACTTGAGTCTGTGTACAATCAGCAGTTCCCTAATGCACTAGCCCTATTAATGGAGATTAATTGGAATGTAAACAAAGACAGAGCAAGGCTTGGCCCCGACTGATAGCGAAGGTGTACCCTTCCCACTGGCTACTGCGCTGCCGGTAGGACATACCTGATGTCAGAGTAAGTGGTCCAAGTGGTTGATATATGTAAATAGTGATGGCGACAGGGTGGCGATGCCTGGGGACGCAACCTCAACACAGCGCATTGACTAGTTTCTGGGAGTAGGGACCAAGATCCGTATCTCTTCCAAACCCTGCAACTCACCCGGTATCCTCACAGACTCCTTGGTTTCCCAAAACAACTTTAAACAAAAGGTCTCCTGGGCAACCACTTCAGGGGAATAAAGGACAAAAGCCCTGATAGAGACTATCCAGGAATGGGAAACGTCTACTTAAGCACCTACGGGTGCGCGATTCCCAGTTTAACCTGTAACAAAGTATACACGAATTAAAAGTGTACACGCATTAAAATCATTTGAGCAAATGCGTTTGAAGAGTAGCAAATAAATGCAAATAATTTTGCGACTGTATCTTTTTTCTAATGTAACATAAAATAAGATATTATTTTTGTTTCCACAGAGCTGTGCATTTCCTATAGTTCGAATACAGCACAACATTATCCACAGGACCGACGGCATAGAGAAACGATAGTTGCTATTATAATACTGCTGTAAATTCTTTTTTTTTCCATTGTTTTAATATCCAGCAAAATTGAACTTTCTCTCATGTTTTATCGCGTATAAATCATATCCTTTCCTAGATTTTAGCGATAATTGTAATGGATTTATGATGTTAAAATAAAAACAAAAGGAACTTGCAAATACGGGTTAAAGACAATTAATCTTTTCCAGAGACAAACACACATAGGTGTGCCTGACAAGCCAATCCACCATATCGCTTTGCGTTATCAGGCCAAATGCTATTTTTATTTTGGAAGTATTCATCCCCAGTGTTTACAAATATAGATGTATTTTATCCCCGTTTCCTAAAGTGTGCAACTGAGGCTCGAATTAGTGATGCTTCTTAAAACAACCCTGGACAAAACAATCAGTTCCAGCTCAGATCCCTTTATCAAAATCCCAGATAAATGAATATAATTGAATAAGGACCCAATGCAATGGCTGTTGCTCAAATTAAAATGCTCAGCAACCTTAAAGCAGTCATTACCTATGAATTTCTACAGTTTGTAGTGTTATTTCCCACTCAGTCAGTGTAGACTCTTTAACCATATTACTGAAATCTGCAATGTTGACTCTAAAGCATTCAAA